AGTGGGAGGCAATGTTTGACACTGCAATTGGAGTCAGATCTTGGAAGGCCTTGAATGCTGGGAGAAGAAGTTTGAATTTTGTCTGTAGGCAATGGAGAGAGACCAAAAGTGGGGAGACTTTTATTTAGGAGACTGATGAGTGGAGGCAGAGCCTGAATGAAGTGATTAGACAGTATGCAAGTAAGGGATTCAGCATGTAGTACATCCTATACCACAAATGCACCAAGGATCATGAGGCAGCTAGGTGATGAAATACAAAGAGATCTGAGTTCATGAAGATCTGAATTCAAATCCTTCTTCATACACTTACTTTCCCTGGGCAAGTCTCTTAACCTCTCTTTGCCTCACTTTCCTCATCTATAAAGTGGGGATAACAATAGCACCCAGCTCTTAGGATGGGGAGGATCAAATGAGTTAACATTTGTATAATAATGCTTGCAAAGTGCCTGTTGCATGATAGGTGCTTAATGAATGTTCCTTTCCTTCATGTGACTTCTTTAACGTGGTAAGCTCACAAAGTAGGGATCCCTTCTCCCAAAGCCCACCTATAGGGCAAACTATTAGTGAATGCCTCTTCAGAGAGGAGAACAAACAGTTGCCTAAATGATTTCCTGAAGCAAAAGTCTGGCCCTATCACTCTCTGCTCAAGAGTCTTCCATGGCTCCTTAGTGTTTCTAAGAGAAAACACAAAGTCCTCAGTTTGGCGCATACAGCCCTGCATCATCTAGCTCCAGTTTGCCATCTCACACTTTCCCTCTGTTACTCCCCTTCCCTCTCTTTTCCAGTCAAATTAGCCTGTTTTCTCTTTCTAAAATTCTGCGTTCTACATACTACCTGGATCCATGCCTTGGCACATGCCATCCCCTATTCCTTTCACAACCTAGCTCTAGCCTCCCTTCCCAAATTGATTCCGTTGTGCTCCCTTTCATGCCCTCTATGTCCTATGCACTTGCTGTTTCCTGAACTAAGCACATCATCTACCACCTCCATGCCTTTGTAAAAGCAGTCTCCCATGGCTGGAATACAGTCCCTCCTTAGCTCTGTGTCTTAGAATCTCGAGTTTCCTTTAAGGCTCTGTTTATGTGCCATCCCCTATAGGAATCCTGATCTCTTAGCTGTCAGTGCTTTCTCAAACCTCCTCAAATTACATGTACTGTGTGTGTTTATTTTTCTGTTTACCTGTTGCATCCCTCAGTGGAATGTAAACTCCTCCAGGGCACTTAGTGAATTCCTATCAAATTGAATCAATGAGAGAGAACCCACATAACTTATTTGGGCCTGAATCGCAACCAAGGGGAAGTAATGAAATTAATAGAAGGTTGGATCTGTTCTCCCATCATCCATTTTTTGTCCCATTCTAGCCACATGCTTTCTTAGCAATAGGACACATTGTCTTACTTGAATCCCAACTCTGCGACTTCCTAACTCTGTAAGCTTAGAGAAGTCATTTCTTCTCTGTAGGCTTGTTCTCTCATCTGGAATAATGGGCCTGGAAAACAGATACTGGAACATTCTTCCCCCTTGTGTGAGGGGAGGTAATAGGAGGGCAGGATGTTGCATACATTGTCCAGGGTTGGTTGCTTTTGCTTAAATGTTTTTTTTCCTTTTCTTTCTAACAAGGGAAGTTTAGAGTCAGGAATAAGAGGGACCCATACACACACACATACACTCAATATATATACATATATATTATATATACATACATATGTATAGGAGAGAGAGCACACTATGATGTAAAATAAAAGGCATTAATAGTATGATTTTTTAAGTGGAAAAAAAAGAAAAAATAGTGTTAGGCTAGATGACCCATAAGGTCCCTTCCAGTTCCAACCTTGGGTTAGTGACTCCACTTATTGTAAAACTTCAGTATAATCTTTTAGATTCAAATGTTTCCCATTCTTAATTGTTCATGTTGCACACTCTTTGAAAAAATATTTGTGAAGGCCAATGCCCAGACTTTTGGCTAAAACCCCATGATAGTGCTGGGGGTGATTGGGGGGAAACAGAGAGAGATTTGGAAATGCTCCCCCAAGTTTGCCTTGGGCTGGCCCCATATCAGTTTGCTTTGGCGCTCTGAATGGGAGGCTCGCGAGGTTGCTAAAGCTGAGGCTGGCTGGGGCTTATTTGACCTGTTCACTCGGGTGATAAATAGCAACCCAGAAACCAAGGAACACACCTAAGTAAATAGAAGAAATGAAGTGTGAGAAAGTGCCTCCAGGCTCAGCTCTGAATCAGCCAACAATCTAACATTTTTGATTTATCAATAGCCTTGTACCACCCCCCACTCCTATCACTCTCCTGGTGAAAGGTGCATTTGAGAATTAATAGACACTAGAAATGTCCATGTCTTCCATAATTAAAGAGCTGCATGGCCACGCTGGGACTATATGTGAGGTGGCGATGCCCTTCACTTTGGTGGAATAAAGCGATGCCCTTCACTTTGGTGGAATAAAGCGCTCATGAGCGATTGTCATCTTGTTCCTTAATGCCCTAAACCCATGGATTCTTGGTAATGGAGACTGGCCCATATTTTGCCAACTTCTGTATTCTAATGAATTAAAACATTGTCAAGCCCAGGCATTTAGACACCTGGTTTTAGAAAAAATGGTTGTGGATGCTTTGGCCATGTGAAGAAAGAGCAGTTTTGGTTTGAACTACTTGCTTATTTTCTTATGATTCTAAAAGTCAGAGAGAAAGCAAGGTTGAAGCAAAAGGATTCAATCAATCAGTCAATCAATAGCATTTATCAAGTATTTCCTAGGTGATAGACATTGTGCTAAGCCTTAGGCATACAAAGAAAAAACAAACACAAAACCAGTCCCCAACCTCTAGGAGCTTATATTCTAATGAGGGATACACATATGTAAATATTTGTGTACAAGAATACATACAGGTACAAGAATTATAAGGTAGCCCTGCAGAGAAAGCCACTAGCAATTGGGGAGGGGGGTTGCCTGGAAAAGGTTCTGAAGCCCTATATCTGGCAAGTGTGACCTTGAGAAGTAACATCCCCTTTCTGGGCTTCATCAGTAAAATGAGAGGGCTGATCTTCCTGACCTTTGAGTTTGCTTTCAGCTCCAATTCTGTGGTTCTCTGATCCTAGACCTCTTCCTGTTAAAATTCTTTCCATCTCTTGATGCTCACTGAACCCAAGTTTTCTTCTTGAAGACACTACATCTCATGGTGCCCTCTCCAAGGATGGTTACTCATACATCACCCAATACACAGGGCCACCTGCTCCTTGTGCCCCCTATCACATCAGAGACCTTCCCACTACCATCATCATTACCTCTCTTCCTCATTCCATTTTGTCCAGATCCAAGGATCCAGATCCCTGTCATCCATGGCCCTCCAGGTCACTCTCCTTTCTTGCCCATTAAGTTCAGAACCCAGTTTACCAACGTCTCTGTCCCAATACCTTCCCACTTTGAATAATCTTGCTTCTCTTCCTACAGTCTGCATATGTGGGAATGGTTAGACCCTCCCACCCCTGTGCTTTCCCTCCTAACCCTCCCCGCCACTCTTGGAAACTCAATTTTCCTTAGGTGCTAGAATTCCTGTCTACAACTATAATAGTGGCACTGGTTTCATCAGTTAGAGCTAAGCTATCTCAAGACCTCCCCAAACCAGCTTTCCAGGACAGGCAGCTAGAGGTACAACCCAACTGCACAAAAACTGCTAAAAGAGGAATTAGAAAAAGGAAAGCAAATTTAAAGTGAAAAACACAACAGACTTATCAGTCAACAGCATCACAATGGAAGAGGGGAATGATGTTCATTCGTATCTGCTCCCATTGGGAGGGGGATTCAAAGCTGAAGGGCTTCTATGTGACAGGTGATAGCCACCTTTAAATCATTTGTGGATATGCTCAAAACAGGTTATTGAAAACATGCCAGAAACTCCAGCACTGAAGGGAAAACAACACGTGGAATTGTTTTAAAGGACAAGTTGGTATATATTCATAAAGAATTGGGCTAGATTTAATTAAAATTGAAAAAAAAAACTCAACTCCATCTGGATGTCTCAGCATCAAAGCTAGAGAAGGAAGTAAGCTGGAGTAAGGGAAGTGGTCACCTTTTGGTTCTGTTACAGATTTCTTCCTTAGCTAGCAAAAAGGAGAGCCAAAGAAACCTTTGCTTCTAGGTCTGTTTTGGAGAGAAGGCCTGGGTTAGAGTCCCCGTTCTGCCATGTATAACTTACATGATCATGGGCAAGCCATTTCTCTCTGAGCTTCAGTTTCCTCAACTATAAAACAGAGATTAAAAAGGGTGTCTTACCCTCCCTTCTTGTGAGGTTCAAATAAGATCAGGTAGGTGAAACCCCTTTGTACTCGGTAAAGCCATTTAGAAATGTATTTGTTGTATAATCTCAACTGGGCCCTCAAAGAAGCAAGGAAATCCTTTTCTATCTTCCTGATTGCTTCACTATCTCACTCACCACAAAGGCTGTACCAAATCTTTCATCTCTCCCGTATACTTTCAGTTCCCAAACATGATGCTTCATCTCCCTACTCCATGCATTTTTACTGACTGTCCCCCATGTTTAGAATGCACTCCATCCTCACTGCCACCTCCTGGCTTTCCCAGCTTCCACCAAGATTCAGATCAAATACCACACTCTACAGGTCTTTCTCAGTCATCCCCCAGATGCTGATGCCTTCCCCTCTGGGGTTGCCTTCCATCTACTCCATATGTATCTTGAATATACATAGATAACTATTTATTCTCTTCCCTATTAGAATTTGAGCTCTTAGAAAGCAGGACTGTGTTTTTGTTTTTCTTTGTATCTCCAGTGCTTAGCACAGTGCCCAGAGCATGGTGAATACTTAACAAATGCTTGTTGACTGAATGATGGTTAATCAAATTTGGTGGTGTCAGTAAGTGGTAGTATTGGTGTCAATGAGAATTATAATCCTAAATGAGATATTGACATTCTTCTGGCTTCCTCCATTACCCAAGGATCAGATCTAGCTCACCTACTCTGCTGCTTTGTTTTTACAGTGATGCTGAATCCTGAAGGTGAACAGTGCCCATGTTTTTCCAAGAGAAGCAGCCCACAAGGGAGTCAGAAAAGCCTGCCAACAGAGGATGAAGTGGATAAAAATTTAATGAATTTCAAATAACTATAGACACCAGAACCTTTTCCTTTCCCTTGCTGCGCCTACTCTTCATAATGCTGATGACATTACCTGGACCTGGGGGGAGGTACAAAGGCAGACATGCTGGAAACAAGCTCTGGCTTCAGTCTACAAATCCCCAAAGTTCCCTAGTGCTGGACCTGCAGCCTGTGGTTGTCCTTTTCTCTTCCTCAACCTTTCATTGACTGTGGCATGTGACTCTACCTCACTGTACTCACCTGTAGGAAACCTTTGCTGCCTTTCTTTGCCACCTTTCTTATTTCTTCATGGGCTGGAATTCATTCCTTGGTTCTTTTTATGTATCAATGAGTTCCTTTGGGTAACCTCGTTGCCTCACTTGTTTCACATGTGTCTGTAAACCATATATGTCTGATGGTAGATAAGGCATCCGTTGATAGGTCAATTGTGCCATGGAAATGGCTCCAGCCAAAGTCAGGGTTTCAATTTAAGACTTAATCTCAGTGAGGACTGATAAATCTGTCCACATTTCACAGGTAACCCACAACCCTACTGAAGTGCTGGGTGACTTGTATCCTATCATCACCACAAGTTCCCTTAAACAGTCCTTGAGGATTCAGGAAGGAGCTTGTAATGTTAACACTTCCTTTCATGCTGAGTTTTTCCCTGAAACAGAAATCACCTTCGGCTTTGGTCAATTCTTTCCCCTAATTCAGGCAGGTTCATAAGGCATTGCTTACTCTTGGTGTTTATATTGGTGGGGAAGAGAAGTGGGAGAGAAGGAATGAACTTGTCCCTTATAATAAGCAAAGAGGAAAAAATGCTGAGGGTTAATTTTATTACTTACAAAAGAAAGAAAGAAAGAGGAAAGAGGGAAGGAGGAAGGAAAAAGGGGAAGGAGAGGAAGGAAGAAAGAAAAAGAAAGAAAGAAAAAAAGAAGGAAGGAAAGAAGAATTGATTCAGCCTTGACCCTCAAAGCAGTCATGTGACCTGCCTCTTTCCTAGGACATGTAACAATTTATTTGAGGCAAGTCATGATTAATGATAGTTCTATGTATTTTGCCATCCATGTACCTCCTGAGGGGCTGGTGGGCTGGTGAAACATTCTTGTGGGTTGCTGGAATTCTAGGGCTTGTTTGTAAGGTTGCCTTAAGGTATAGTAAGGCAGCTGCCCCCTTTTCATTGCCCACACAAGTACCTGCATTCCTAACTATGCTGAGAACTTGAAGGCAGAGTTCCAAACCCATGGTGTCTTATCTGTTTGCATGCCGGGAGGTTAATAATCCTTTTCTCTCTCTACTCAACAGGGGATATGTTTCTAGCATAATTGTTTTCCCCTCTCTTGAAGCCAAATCCCCAAATCCAGGTCTGTATTTTGTTTTCTTCTTGACTGCTCAACCAGGTCCAATTTATTCAGTCTGCTTTACAGAGAATCTTACGGACAATAGCTGCAAAAGCATTCAAAAATCCTGTCTTGTATTTTTGAAGAAAAGACATTTTTTTCATTAGTAAGTGTGGAAACTCCTAAGGAAATGATGTAGATCTGTGATTTCATTGGCATGGGAAACTCATAGAGGAAACCCTCCACCAATGCAGGAGTGTACCTTCACCACTTGCTGTCTTATAGAATTGCCTAGATCACTGAGAGGTTAAGTGATTTGCCCCCAGTCACACTGTCAATACTGAAAGATCATCCCTTGCTCTAAAAATGACCTAGAGTATATTGAGTCATTTCAGACTTGTAGGAAAACCAAGTCTGGGTGCTCTCCTAACACCTTTGGAAAAATCCGTTTTCTACTTGGTCCATTTACCATGTCCCCAGATCACTGGTGGCCTCAGTTTCCCCTGCTATTCTAAACCACACAGCTGTCCTTCAGTTTTCCCCAATCCTCAGACTCTTCGGTTCTCTTTCAGTCCCTTTATAGACAGAGAGATTCCAGGATGTCAGTTCATTGCCATGAGGTTCTAAATAGGACATCCGGTCTGTCTGTGATTGGATTTAGGAACCAACACCTGCCTTAAATCCAATTTAAGAAGAGAATAAGAGGCAAAAAAGCTGCTCAGGAATAGGGACCAAAAGAATATTATCTGAGATTTCCATTTGGTTTTGAAAGTCATAGGATCATAGATCTGGAGAAGGAAGAGACTTAAGAAGTCATCTAACCTGACCTCTTCTTACTATTACTGAGGAAACAGAAGCCCAGGAGGTGACTTGCCCAAGGTCAGACAGGTAATAGTCATCCAAGGTGGGATTTGGACCTAGATGTTCAGACTCCAAAAGCAAGGCTTTTTATGCAGTCTTTAGAGAATTCATTCAATAACATTTTCTCTTCTTCTTTTCACTTAGTGATACATTTCCTTTTCTTTACATTCCATATCCACATCATAGAATTACAGAACTGATAATATAGGTCTATGATTAGACTACCTCCTTCTTAGTAAGCCATGCAAGTTCTAAAGAGTCCACATCATTTGGTGGAGCTCCCAGCTGGAGGGGATTTCTAGAGGGCTGCTGGGAATCAGCATGGACAGGGAATAACTAAAATTAATAGATGGTTATCACTTCTCACTTTTTCCCCCAGAGGAAAAAACTCTGGGTCACTAGTTGTTTGATTGTTTTCAAACATCTCCGACTCTATCTGAGCCCATTTGAGCTTTTCTTGGCAAAAGATGTGGTTTGCCATTTCCTTCTTCAGCTCATTTAACAGATGAGGAAACTGAAGCAAACAGCATTAAGTGACTTGCCCAGGGTCACACAGTTAGTAAGTGCCTGAGACTGGATATGAACTCAGGAAGAGGAGTTTTCCTGATTCCAAGATCAGTTATCTTTCCACTGCACCACCTCGCTGCCCCTGGGTAGTCACCCAGGCAAGTATAGTTCAACCTGTTGCAATGCTCAAGAAGCCATCTGGTCCAGACCTCTTGCCTCTAGGGAGAAGAATACTAAAGCCATCCAAGACAGGAGGTATTTTTCAAGATCTCTGGGGATAGATTTTTTTATAACCTCCATTGGAAATTCAGCATTTCATCAGCCTTGTAATAAGGAAGTTCATGCTTAGGTTGAACCAAACCTCATCTTGCTGCCATGTAAGAATCTTTCTGTTTCACAGGATCACAGATTTAGAACTGGGGGTAGGGGGACAGATCTTAGAGGCCATCCAGTCCCACTCCTTCCTTTTACAAATGAGGAAACTGAAGCACAGAGATATGAAGTGACTTGTCCAGGGCCACATTGCCCTGTGTCTGAAGCATGATTTGAACTCAGGTCTTCTCGGCTCCAAGTCCAGCACTCTAAACATTTTATCACCTTGCTGCCTCTGTAGCTATAAGGAGAACTGCTGTACAGTCTTCTTTAAGTCCTTGAGGGCAGTTAGTAAATTAGTCCTTCTTTTCACTAGGCTAAACAACTCCAATTTCTTTAGTCTTTTCCAAATGCAGTATTTCCCCTCAAAATTGTTCTTTTGTGGTTTTTTGCTTCTTCTTGGAAGTGAAGGCAACAGTCAAATAAGTGTTTAACCAATACTAAGTGTAGCAGAATTTTAATAATAGTAGTAATAGCTAGCATTTTATAGTTCTTTAAGGTTTGCACCTTATCACTTTATACCTATTCTATTATTTGTAGGTTGGTACCTTTATTGTTCCCATTTTATAGACGAAAAAACTAAATTTGAGAAAGGTCAAATGACTTACCCAGGGTCACACTGCTAGTAAGTGTCTAAGACAGGATTTGAACTCAGCTCTTCTTGACTCTGTCTCTATCTACTGTGCCATCTAGCTGCCTAATCACTTTCTGGCTCTCATCTTACTTAGATCAACATGACAGAAATCTATGTTTCATCAGTGTGAGTATACCCATCACCAATGCAGTCACCAATCCTTTCGCACTTTAGTAGAATGTCTGCATAAGTTGCTGTGGCCAAAAATATTCACTACTTGGTGGTCACCTGTAGTGGTGACCTCTTCTGAACTTCTTGAGCTGGTCCTCAGAGGACAGATGCACAGTCTGTTGCTGGGTCTGTGCTCAAAGGTTTTTCTAGTTTGGTAGGATATGCCATAGTTTGCCCATAGCCAGCCTAGGCTTTGAGAACTCAGGATCACCTTCATGCCTCTATGAAGCATCAAAGGAGGCCAATAGTGGATGCTTTCATCTTCCAACAGCAGACTTAGCAAAATACAGAATAAAGGGACTACCTCTTGGTACTTGGTGGGAGGACACTGACAAGCTGCGGAGTAAACAAAGATGGGTGATCAGGCCATATCAGAAGGGGCTAAAAGATATGGGGATCTTTAACTTGGAGAAAACAAGGACATGGATAAGCTATAGGGGATTTAGAACAGAACAACCAGTATGGGAAAGAGTTTTGAGTTCATACCATAGGAAGGGATGTTCACCTCCGATACTTTCTACCTGTGACGCCTGGACTAGTCATTTAATGTTCTTGACACTTAGCTTCCTCGGCTGCAAAATGAAGGGGTTGGACTAGACAGTTTCTGAGGTCCCCTCTGGCTCTAAATCAGAGAGAAGCTCTTTATCTGGGTTTATGGACCCCCAAGGGGTTCCATAGAGAGATTTCAGTGGGTCCATGAACTTGGATGGGAAATCATTACACATTTATTTTTAATATAATTGGTCTCCTTTGCAATCCTATGCATTTTATGTTATGCATGTAAAAACATTATTTGGAGAAGGGGTCCCCAGGCTTCCCCAGACTGCCCAAAGTGTCCAGGACACAGAATAGGAGAAGAAACCTTGCTTTAGATCTATGAACTAGGAACATCCAGCCTAAGGGAGAGAAGATTTAGGGAAGACTTGATTATTGTGTTCGAAGGGCAAACGGGAAGAAAACATGACTTTTTTCTGCTTGGCTCCAGAGATTAGAACTAGGAATGAAGAATGAAAGTTGAGTGGAAAATGGAAGTTCTCAAGCATGATGTTTATGTTAATATAACTGTAAAGACTCCTCAATCATTGGAGTGACTCAAGAGTAGGATGGACTGCCTCAGGATGCAATAGGGCCCCCTTCACCAGAAG